CAGGAATGATGGTGCCTATTTACCCTATTGCATAAGGGTGACATGAAGTGGTAGTTAATATTCACCTCATGCCATGTGAAGGCTGGGATCTAATCTGCCAGAGCTGTCATCCGCAGCCCTGAGTGATGTTTTCAAGGAAAAAAAAAAATAAAAATCCTAAGCCCTTTGGAGCTGTTTCCTTGCAGTCTTCTAGACACAAGTGCTTTCATTGCATTGTAAAAGTGCTTCTAATGCCACCATGTCTGAGCAATGCACATCAATAACTGAGAAACAGAGCAATGAGTCCAGAAGGGATACTCTGTTCTCCCCCCAGCTTTGGATTAGCCAAGATGAAATTCACTCAAATGAGCAAAGTAAAACCATGGTGAGACTTGTGAAAAGCCCAGATGCAGGCAGTTTGGGAGTTGTTATCTCCACGCACACAACTGCCTTGGCTCTTCCATAGCCAGTTACTGTGTGAAAAATCTGGGGATTTTTCTGTGCCAGAAAATCCTGCTTGTAATGATCATTCTGTGTTTACTGCCTGCATGTTCTGTGGATTCAGGTTTGAGACTTTGCACTCTTGAGGAAAGGAAGCAGTTACACTGAAGTAGCCAGCTCTGGGGATGATGCAAGTGGGAGATGCATAAGGTTGCCTGACACGGCTTTGCCCAGACAGCTCGGCTGTAATCCACAGCTTCTTGATTGCAGTATGAAGCTGCAATCCAGCTCTCCTGACAAAGGCTGCCTTCACCTGGTACGCTTCTCCCTCTCCCTTCTGAATTGCAGTCCAGGGCTCTGCCCTCAAAAAGTAACACACTCCCTGGATTCAGGGATGCAGATGGTGGCACTTGCACTGGAATGTGTAGTTCTCCTGCAATGCTGAACTATTAAGGCTCAAAACTTCCGAAAACAAGAATTAATAACATCAAAAAATTCTGCATCTGTCAAAATACCACAGAAGTGGTGTTGATAGCCTAAAAAGCCTATGTCTGCGGAGAGGAGTATTTCTTAATCCATTACTCTTTATACCATAAACATCAATTTAATGAGAAAGCGAAGCTGGAGTTATACAACACTCCAGAATGTATTCCGCTTATTAAATGCAAGTGATCTATACAACTGTAAAATGTTGCTAAAACTGAATTCCCATTAGGATACAAGGGACTAACAGTTGTGCAGGAAAGTCATGCTGGTCCCTGCTGTGGAAATCTTATCCTCCAGCTTTTTAGTTTTTAATTTTAAAACCCCCAGTAAATCCCCCAAGAGCTCAACTTCCCTGTTTGGTTAGGCAGCCAGCCTAAGCAGGGTCAGCTCAAGGTGGGGTGTGGGCTGCTGGCTGGAAGTTGCAGACCCTGAGACATGATCTTGCAGAAAAGGAGAATTGAACGCCTTGCTTTCAGTGTGGCAAACCTGTCTGAGTATCACCCGGGCAGCTGAGATAGTCTCTTTGGGTGACTGCACAGCTGGGACACTGCCAACCCTTCACTGCACAAGGCAGCCAGCCACTGTCAAGAACCCACGAGCATGAATGCAGAGGGCAAACTGCCTCCCAGCATCGCCTTGGATGGTTTAATCAAGCAGATAAACCAGACACCGCCTGGGCTGGATCTCTCCTGCTTGCTTCAGCTGCTGTTGCATTGAGTCCACTGTGGTGCAATAAGCTTTCTCCTTCCATGTTTCTGTATGGACTCTGCTTCTGGCCTGCGGCGTTCAACAGATAACGGCACGTGGCCTTGCTTCTCTCGCAGACTTGGGGCCAGGTGCCATATTACAGTCACTTCTGTTGGTAGCACTTTAGAGGAATGGCTGAACAGCAGCCCTCTGTGTCCTACGCAAGGCACGTCACACTTTGCTGCAGTCATAGCTCTGGGCTGAATACAACAGCAGTGGTGGGACCTCTGGCTTTAGTGGGGAGCAGGTTTGTGGTTAAGGAGGTCTAGAGGAATATATCTGTGTCTATCTGGAGGCTCTTGCATTTGATGTGTTGCTGATTTAGTCTATTTGTGAATATTTAGTATCTGGTTGGGCTCTATAGCATGAATAGCATAATACTATTCCTGCTTGATGGAGGTATGATTGGTTCTTAATAGAGTTTACAGTTCCAGATGTCCTGGCATCGTTGTGTATCGAAACAGGAGTTCCTGAAGAAATATATTTCAGGAGGATGGGGCCAAACCCTTTTCAGTGGTGCCCAGCAACAGGACAAGGGGCAACGGGCACAAACTGAAGCAGAGGAAGTTCCATCTGAACATGAGGAAGAACTTCTTCACTCTGAGGGTGACGGAGCCCTGGAACAGGCTGCCCAGGGAGGCTTGTGATTCTATATCGTATCCCTTCTGCTTTTATGAGTTCATGGATGGCTCGGGTTTGTACTTGCTGGATGTTTTGGGTCCCACCGAGAGGAGATGGGGACATAACTACAGTTAGTTTGTTGTGACCCTGCTGGTTTGTGGTCTGGCGGTGGAGTGGGGAGGCACACATGAGGCATGATCCAGCTCCAGTGTTGCAGGTCCTTTCCATCTCCCATACCACATGTCCGTAACAGCTCAAACATAATTAAAACCTGGCAGCTGCTCTAAGCTCCCTGTATGGCTGGGCTTGTTAATTCTCTCCTGGACCCATCTGACATGCTGCCAGAAAGCTGAAATTGCGTTTCAGAAGAGAACAAGGGGGTCCTGCATCAGCTCTGTGAAAGCCAGAAGCCACAGCCCAGGAGACTGCAAAAGCGAGAGGTGAATTCAGTTCCTGAATGTGGTCTCCATGTGCTGATTCCTGTCCCAGATCCCCACTAGATTTCAGAAATGCCTGCAAAGTATTGCTGCTACACCCATGCTTTTTACAGGACCTTGATGGCGGGAAGGGTACAAGCCAAGGGCATGGGTTCAGAGACAGAGATTATAGTAAAATACTCCCACTAGTAGACAGAGGGAAGTGGAGAATTCAGATCAGGTAAAAACAGCCTGGATGGAAAAAATTGGGCCGCGATATCTCCAAATGAAGCAGCTATTTCTTGCCTTCCTGCTACTGGCAACATCCATTTTCTTGCAGTGGCCTCGGATGCCAACTCCGCAGGTGCCTTTTGCCGCAAACTGCAAACCAGTTCCTCTCCAGTCTTAAAAGAGGAAGCTCTGCTGTTTAATATTTAATCAAAATTATTTTGTGCCTTACGTAACACCTTGCAGCTGGGCCTGGCTGCCAGGCAGGGCCATTTTAGACCTATATTTCCCTCCATCACACGTTGCCTTGCTGCCATCTCTCTGCTTATGCTCATAGATGTTCTGTACCTGGCAAATACTTTGAGCCTGACCCCTCTGTGTGGGATTTGGGCTCATGGGGCCCAGAGCTCTTCCTCTGGCTGCAGACCTGCTCTCCGTATTGTTAGTAAGAGAGGAGTTTCCAGCAGGCAGTCCTCTGCCCTTCCCGAGCTGTGCAATTGAAGGGAACTCCTCCAGTTTGAATCTCCAGTCTGGAGTCAAACTGGAGAAGAGGATTGTTCTGCCCGCAAATAGGAGTGTCGAGGCAGAGGGTTGAGTTAGGTAGTGGCAGAGAGGGATTTTTCACTTGGAGAACCAGAAAGAGACCAAGTTTCAGCAAAAGGGAGCTTGGAAAGGAATGGAGACAGCCACCCTCTGTAGAGCTCTCCCTGTCTCCAGCACTTCTTATCTCTAAGCCTGTCTGTCTTGGGAGGGGACAGAGATGAGGTCAGACCTGCTCTCTGCATCCTGCATCTCCAGTGATCTGCAGGATCCCATAGGGAAAATGTCATCTTGCTGAGTGGGTCTGGAAAAGGACTCGCTCGGCTCTGGTCCCTCCATCTTGTTTTCTGCTGTGGTTCCCACCTGCAAACTGGAATGAACAGCCCTGCCCTGTGAGGTGCTGGGGATGAGCACTGAAACTCGCAGAGCACTCAGATGCAGTGGCAAAGTGGGGCTACAGGTATGAGAGGTAGATGGCCTGGAAGTCATGGTATTAGAGATTTTACTCCTTAAGATGCACTGCGGATCTGCCTCTGAGTCTGAACGAAAGCTACAATGGAAATGTTAATTCCCATGAGGGATTTTAAGTTGCTGGGACATACATCAACGTTTCAGGAAAGCCCAAGACCATTCTCAGAGTGCTGCCAATTTTGCACTTCTTTTTACCCAGTCCTGCCTTGATTCCTGTGAAGCTCGTGAGGCTGACATGAGCTCTTTTCTTAGTCACTTCTCTCTTTTCTTCATCAGTGGTGATCTGTGTCACAGGAACAGGCTTTGCTCGAAGAAAATGGGGAGAGAAGGGGTGGATTTAAAAGAAGTAGGGATTGCTCTTTATCTGGTTAGAAAAGCCAGCAAGTGTCAAGGAGAGAACAAGTGTGGGTGTCTGAATATGTCTGTAGTGGTGGAAAGCAGCTGCCATCCGGCAGCTGTCTGTGGCCAATGTGCCTTGAACTGGGTTCCCTGTGCGTGAGGCTCTGCACCATCTCTGGTCCCTCTCCTGGTCCTGGCAGAGAAGTAGGACATAAGGACGGTCACCTCTCTGCCAGCCACCCCAAAGTGATTCCTCCTGAATGGGGTGATCAGCTTGTGGTAGTGCTTCATAATGGGAGACCTTCCCCACAGGCAGGGAGGTTTTACTGGGATAGACAAGGACAAAGTGGGAGGCAGCACTGGGGGGCTGGCTCAGCTTGGCGTAGGGGTATGTGCATCTGCAAGGCTGCCAGCTTTGGCCATGCTCCTAGGGCCCAACATCCTGCGAGCCCTGCTGGGAGGACTGTCTGCGCTGTGCAATCGGTGGGATTGACTTCAGCGCCCTTGGGAGAGGGTGAGGGACAGTGAGACTACAGAGAGGTCTTCTAAGCGACTGAGCAAAGGCTGCCACGCAGGTTTTCAGTCCTGCCTTTCTCCAAGCAGGGCAGTAGTAGCAGACTGGGACGGTGCTTGACTACAGCACAGTTTCTTTTGGCAGATCACCCTCCGTGCCCATCCACACCGTCCCCAACAGGCTGCTCACCACACTTGGGACTTCCTCCGGGGCATGCCGTGCCGGTGCCATTTCGAGTGGGGGGTTAGGTGGTAAATCAGCTGCCTGCAGATCCTGTCTGAGGATTTCCAGGGGTCGTATTCCTGAAAGTAAGAGAACAGCTTAGCCTCTGTGTGCACCACAGCGGAACAGGAAGCAAGGGGGAGGACAGAGGAAGATGGGAAAGGCTCAGAGGTGGTAGTGAAGCAGGGGAAAGAGGAAAAGAGAATGAAAGAGGAATGGTGAGAAGGCCTGAGGTGCCTCTGTGCCACATGCCATCTCCTCCTGGGGTGGAGGAAGAGTAGTTTTGCACTGCCAGGAAGGACCCCAGGTCAGCCAGCATGTTCCTGCCCAGAGTGGGGCTACAATTTCACACCCTACCAAGGACCAAGTGGAGCTCAGAAGAGGGGGTTATTTTCTAGAGCTGTGGCAGGGGGTCCTGCTCTAGTTCAGGCAACACCCAGGAAGGCAGGGGTGGCTGACAATGCGAGAAGGGCTCTGTGCAGCGACCCCCTATGCCCTTTACTTCTAAAGATCTCCACTTTCAGAAAAGGCCAGTGCGGGGACAGCATGGGTGTCCCAGCTCCTCCCTGCTGTGTCCTCAGCAGCACCCATTCCCTGCTGGGCAGACAAGCTGCCAACCCATTGTGTTACAGAAGAAGCTAAATTTCTATCAATTTCCTTGTTGCCGTGCTTCCCAAACTCTAACTGCTTGCTGTCTTTGGACTAATTCTCTGTTCACATCATGTGGAAAGTGCACCAGCCAGCACCCTTGCCCCATTCCCTCGGTGCTCCTTGCTGGGAGATGTGCCCTGGGCCATCCCTGCCCCTCCTGCAGCAGCACCCTGACTCTGTTCCCTCCCATGCTCCAGCTGGGAGATGCTGGGATAGGGAACCAGCGAGTTCCCCATACTCCATCTTACTTCCTTGCAGTCCATTCTGCTCCTGGAGGTTTGAGTTTGGGAGCTTCCCAATGCCAGTGCCTCGCTCCAGCCCCTGCAGTAACTCATCAGGAAAAGACGGCACCAAGATGGTTGCTGCTCTCCTGGGTTTATTTTTGCAAGTGTTCTCTATTGGCATGACTTTGAACAGCACCTCTGTTCCTCTGGGGAAGCAGAACAGCAAAAGACAGCTGCTGAAGGCTGGGATTTCTGCCCCCTCTATCATATTTTCCAAATGCTGACAGGCACCTGCGTTCCCATTCCTCAGCCCTCCAGCTGAGGTGCAACATGTGCATTTACAGATTCGATAGGTAAACACATAGCAAAGCTGTCAGGGAATATGCTAATTTATTCCTTATTGCAGGTGGTTAAAGTGGTGTACTGTGGGCCAACAGCTGCTCTGTGACGTTCCCAAGCAGTCACTGAATCAGCTGAACTCCCCAGGGGTGTGCTGCCAGCATGTGGCCGTTCTGCTGTGCCAAGTGGAGCGGGACCCCAGCCGAGCACCCCCTGAGCCCTGTCCCAGCTTCCCTAGGAATCCCATGGGGACCGGCCCTTGCCCTTGGGTGTAGCTGCCTTGTTCCAGACTACAGGCATGCTGGCAAGGCTGCAGCTGGCTCCCTGCTGTCACCTGCAACAGCAAACCTTTCCAAGTGGGTGCACGTGCACACCAGGCTTCAGCACAGAAGCCGGCACGATGCTCTGCAAGCGTTTGTTGGCTCACAACTGAGAATTACCCTCCTGTTCCTTCCCATGTCCTCACCAATTTAATTCCCACTGACAGACTGGGAATTGCCCTCAGCCTGTAACGCAGTTACACCCGGCAGATGCTCAGCCAGGGTCGGAGAGGGGATGTGGTCTGCAGATGTTTGTGCTGGGCAGGGTGCCGGTGCTGTAGGGTGTTGAGTCTCTCCAGCCCCTTAACTGAACTCCTTTTGGCTTTGACGGGCAGCTCAGGTGCTCAGTACCTTTCTTAAGAATGGGGAAAATCTTATCTATATAGTGCTACATCAGTCAGTGCAGACAAGCACCTGCATCTGTAAGATATGAAAATAGCGAAGGGGGTGGTATATGCGGGTACATAGAAAGTGTAGCGTGTTCTTTGCTAGGCACCTGGGTACTGGAGTGGGGCAATGTCCCTCATGGCACCTCCCCTGAAGGGCACAGCGTGAAGCTGGAGATGGTCTGGTAGAACAGCAGGAGGTGAGGTCAAGTGAAGTACGGTTAAGAGGTACTACTGCTGCAACCCACCCCCTTCCTTTTTAGATGCTTATAAAATTTCTACAAAAATTACACTTGAAAAGATTTTTTCAGGCTGCGTTGCAGCCCTATGGTGATGATTAAACTTTGGCTAAATGTAGGTTGGCTATTGAGACCTGACTGGTTAACTGTTATTAGAGAGCCTCAGGAGATGGCAGAACAAGGTTACAAATGCCACTAATCTACACCAGGAATTCAGTGTATTCCCTAGGGCGCTGCTGTTGGCTCTGTGCTGTGTGTACTTGATTTCTCTCTTTGAATAAAGAAATTCACTCTGTTGCTCTCCTTATAAAGCAAACAAGACACTTGCCAAGTCTGATGAGCAAATGGATGTATTGCAAATCCAAGTGTGAGTGGTGGCAAAGGGTAACAGAAGTAGATATTGGTGCTGTAGTGGGACTGTGGTATCCGTGACGCTTGTCTGCACTCAGCCTTGCCTTTCTTTGTCTCTGCTCTCCTCACTCTCTGAAGGAAAGTGCTGGAGCAGTGCAGGGATACTGTGCATCTAACACATTTGCTCCTTGAACCCTGAGTTGCAATACATTCCTACAGCACCATTCTTTGCTCGGAGATCTGGGAGGCTACAGGCGGGGTATAATGCTGGGTTAGGGTAGTTACATATGGCATAGGGCCTGGGAAGAGAGGTTCTTGTCTTCCTCCTGCAGAGGCAGCAGCCTGGGCAGAGGTGCAGGGATCTCTGTTCCCCTCTGCAGCCCCAGAAGCCCCCTGCAAGCTAGCTGCTTTGAACCGCTGGGGCATCCCGGTGAATATGGCACCGCCATCCGCCCCATATATTTTTACCTGACCTGTACCCTGTCACCAAGCTTGCTATTGGTATGAAAATTAAATTCCTTATTTCTGTGCACATAACCACCCTCTCCTCTAGCTGCCTTCGTGTTCTGAGGTAGCTTTAACTGTTTTCTGCAGAAATATGCATGACATTCTATACCCTGCCACTCCAAGGGTGTACACTGGCTGGTTCTGAAGGATTGCAGAGCACCACCCAGCACCAGTCACCCCATTAGGGCTCTCTTTGATCAGTGCTGTGTTGCAAAATGTCCATTGAGCTGAGGGAAGGGTTCACCTTTTTGGGACACTGCAGATCTCTAGCGAGGCTCATCAGCAAGTCATGGGAGATGGGATCCACCAAGTTGAGGAAAGTCGCGTTTTTGTAGAGCACTTCATTGAGGAATGTTCCTTCCAGTCCCAGGTCCTACAAGAAAAACACGGTCAGTCAGATACATGGGCTCCCTCGGAGCTATAAACATGAGGTGTTTTGAAACCAGAAAGTAAAGTCCATGAGGTGCCAGCTGATTGCTCAATACAGGAAACTATCCAACAAAGGTGAAGCAGCTGTGTCTGACCCAGCATTACTGTGATGGGGATGTGGACAGCTAGAGACCTGAATGAGATGCAGCGTTGAGCTAGTCAGCCTGGGGACTGTCCGCCTTGTTTCCACCTACCATAGGAAGGTGAGAGTGATGTAATTTCCAGGCTGGCTGGAGCCCAGAGAGAATTAGCTCCAGAGAAACTTGCCATTTTGTCAGCTTCTGTGTGTGAATCTGCTGAAGGAGCCGAGCTGAGCAGGAAGGTTAGCTCTGAACCTGCTGCTCCAATTTTAGCTTCTCTGGAAGAATCAAACCTTTCTCACGTACTTCGATACTGCCATACATGCTGGTGGTGGCTGGCTGACTAAAACTCCTGCCCATCAGTAGGAGTTTAGCTGTGCTTGGAATTTCTCAGGAAATGCTAAGCACTGGCAGTATTGTCTTTCGGCTGTGATGGTAAATTTATAGGTAGCTCTATGCAACAGTCATGGGGAGTCCTCTTCCCACCTGCCACAGTGAGAGCTAGGGGAACGTTTGTGGTCCATGCAACTTACGTGCATGGACCAGGATACGGGGCATTTTTGGACATGCTGGAAGAAACCTCCGCACCCTTGGGAACAAAACGACTCCCCAGGGGCCAGATGGGTGACACTGCAAGGAACTAAGCTGTTTCTTGCTAAGAGGAAAGCTAAGATCTAGCACATGACACAGTTGCTACAATCAGGAGATACCAGAGAGCTGTGGAGGGGGGAAAAAAAGCGAGCATCTGGGAAAAAGAGATCACATACTCACATGAAAATACCTTGAGAGCAGAAAAAAATACCCCAGGAGTAGAAACGTAGAAGAAAAAAACTCCCTAATAGTGACAGTGCTGAGCTTGATTCATTTGACAAGGAGGGCTCAGCTGAGGGAGGAAACCAGTCCTCTGCCCATTCTGTATGCTGCTGCCAGGAGAAATGAATAAGCAAATGGGTGCCCCATATGTTCGTGCTGCTCCACTGAATGTGTGCTTCAGGCACCACCCAGCGCAAGATGCACTGAGAGCTCAAAAAAAAAAAAGATAAAAAGAGGGAGAAGAAAAGCTGGGTGTACATGCGTACATCACCAGGGGAGATGCAGCCATAGCTGGGAGAGGTGTGGGATCTCAACCCCACGCAGCAATCAAAGCCAGTGCTGTATCCTGCTCTGGATATGCTTGGATCGAGCAGACAGCACAATACCAAAGAGACCCTGGCTGAAGATCTGGTGGAGAAAGGAAGAATAAATCAAACACTTTACAGCCCCATCACTGTGTGTACACGGAGGATACCCATAAGCGACCAAGGAACCCAAGCAGTGGATCAGTCCCGAAAGACAGACACAGCTGGATGTGGGCCAGAAGCGTACCAAGGCATCATGCCAATGTCTCCCTTAACCATAAGGCTTCAGGGAAACGGAGCCTCCTACGCCAAGCGTACCAGGCACAGATGAGGAAAGCTGCCGAGAGGATGGTATGGCTGGGCATGCAGCAGTAGATGTCAGAGCAGTAATTAAACTCCCCCAGTTGGAGCTATACCATTAAGATGAATCTGCATTCCCATTATAAATCCTACCTTTGAGGGTTTTATAAATAATATAGCTGTAAATATTCACGTTGATATTCCATAAATTCTTAGCCCAGGGGCATTTTCTGGTTCATCCTACTTGTTTCCCTCCCTCTCTCTCTCATTTCTTGGAAAAGTTTGTACCACCTAAAGGGTGGGTGCAGACAGCAGAATATTGTAAGTCTTGCCAGTTCAGTTGGCTTAGTGCTGTTATCTTAAAAATGATAATTGGCCATTGCCTCAGCACAGGAAAATCAGACCATACCAGACTTTTTTCCCCAGTCTCCCCTGGCTTTAGCTGAATGATGCCGCCTTAGACCAGCAGGAAAGCTGCTCTGTCTTTTGCGGGTGGGTATTTCTGAGGCTGGTAAGATGATGTGCAGTGGAGCTGGCTGAGTGTTCCTGTGCAAAGCAGCTGTACACGAGCGTACACCGGTGGGTTGCAGTTGTTCTCTGTGCCGTCTTCTAAAATGCTGGGATCTTGCACCTCTCTTTGTGAATCTGCTTCTGGCTGGCTGACTTGCTTTATTTTATGACACCCTCCTGGCATTCTTGGAGCAGTCCACAGCCCTTTGGAGGCTGCAGACCACAGGTCAAAACACACTAGCAGATACAACTACATCCCTGCGGGATGCATCTGCAGGGCTGGAGCAAGACTGCGTCTGCTGGGAGCAGCAGGAGGCACGCGTCGGGAGCCCGGGTCCCCTGGTCTGGCTGAGCACGCCTGCTTGTCTGGGGAGGCTGCAATTCTGGTCGCACCACTGCTTTGCCTTCTCTGGGGTGTTTGCACCCTGGTCCAAGGCACAGTGATGAGGTGTGGGGTTAAACATCCTCACTGTCCACAAGAATGAACAAGGTATCTCTGTTTTTACAGGTAACAGAGTCTCACCTGGGACACATTAATCCGTGACTCCTGAGAGCGTGTTACTGCCAAGGTAAGCCAGTCTGTAAGGAATGACGTGCTGGGGACCAGGCTAAGGGCTGAATTTAGTTGAGGAGTGAGGGAAATTTGTAAATGAGCAAGAAGGCTGATCACAGTACTCTTTGAAGCTGACAATGGACACGTAAGGAGGACTGGTTCTGATTACATGACCCCAGACTGGCTGACAGCTGTGTTCCGTTGCTGAAGGATGGGGTACGTGCTAGTGGTGTAGCCCTCCAGCTCTGAAATCTCTGAGCACGCAACGAAGCAGCAGCTTTGGGGTGGTGCTGGAGTGGTTCCCGTCTTGCTTGGCAGAGGACAGCTATGACTACAGGATGCATGTCCCACTGCGCTGCCATGAGCAGAGGGTCACCGTTTTGACAGGGACAGGCAGAGATGGTGACCAGGAGTAACAAGGGGAACTGGAAAGGCAGTGAGCAAAATGTGAGTGTTCAGGACATCGTAATTCTGAGCGCAGATGTGGGGAAGCCGAGTGTTTAACATATCCTGAGAGGAGCTGGCAGGCTGCATTGAAAGGAGGGCTTGGAAATGACTGCCTGTTCCAGATGGCCCCGTGACTTCGCATTCGAACCCGGGCTGTTCACAGATGAAGCTTCTGGAGACCTCCAAGGTCTGTGGGGGATTTCAGTGCTCCAGTCTCAGGGAGAGGTGCTGAGCACTATAGAAAATGACATTCTGTAGTTTTGGCCTCTGGCATACCCTCTGGCATACTTATCTAATGAAAGTCTATTCGTGTTACGTCACCACGTTCATGAAGTGAGTGGTTGCCTCTTTTTCTTCACAAGCTTCTTGTAACAGAGCCTTTCCAAAACTGCCTTTGAAATCTTATTCAACCCTTGTCTGCCACACCGGTGCACACATACAGGCTTTCTGCCGAGGGTTTACCTGTCTACGCACGTGGCAAGCGGAGTGTTTGTGATGCTGGTAACAATCCTCAAGTGAACGCTAAGGCAGCGGATGGGAAAAGCAGAGATGTAATTTTTGGTTCTGTAAGTTCTTACTCACAAGAGTGCAACTTGCTGGTAGCCTGGGGCATTGCCCACCACTGCTGGATGTGCTGTAAACCCCAGGACGCCCCGAGCAGAGACAGGGCTGTTAACGCAGCTTGCTGCAGCTGGCAGAATGGCTGTACGAGCATCCCAGCGACCTCCAGCGTACTCACACCCAGAGATTACTTGCCACTATGGCGAGAAGCTCAGTATGTTCCCAAGATGAAGCAGGTTGTTATCTAACGAAGCAACATGATAAGCTAAGAACTGATGGTGGTTTATGTCAAATCAGAGGGAGTATTTGTCCCCTGAGCTACCGGTTGCAGAGTTGCCTGCAGTTTGGGGGAGCTGAGTGCCTGGAAAGTGATGGTAGAGCACTGAGCGATGGAGTAGATGGCTCTGTTCCAGCGGCAGGGCTCTGTCCTCAGCATCAGTTTGGCACCACGCTGTCTGCACACTGGCTTTTCTGTTCCTGAATGGCGGCAGACAGGAACCAGCTCCCACTGATACACTGACCCCTTTACCTCTCCTCTCAGCCTAGATTGTCCCAAGGTCCTCTCCAAAACCATTTGGGGTGCTCCCAAAGACAGATCTTGGCCAGCCTGGCTGGGCGGGTGTACCGGGATGCGGTGGCAGTGGCTTCTCTCTGGGGGGCATCGATCCTCAGCACACCCAGGGGGTGGCACGGAGGGCTGGGGATGGGGGACAGCCGAGGCTCGGAAACCCCTTCTCCCTGTCCCCGGGCAGCCCGGGTGGGGACACGGGCAGGCAGCAGCGACCCACGGCGGCTGTCGCCTG